TATGTATAGGGAAAGAAAGAATTTGCTGGGCAGCTTCATTGTTGATTATGTGTCTTTTTTTATTGATATATCACTTCTTTCTGGTTACACACCAAAGCTGCAATGTTACTGCCTTTATTCACACGCAAATGTATTAGATTTAATGGAGCTACAAAGCACACATAAATGTGGAATATTGTATGTTTTTGATAGCAAAGGCAAATATGGAACTTTGCTGGCTATTTACTACAATGTCATTGTTTTGCCTTTGTATGGTTGAACTAATTTACTACTATCTTCTGCTGATCAGTTTCAAAAACTTCAATCAGATAATTAAGTGCATTGCAAGTCACAAAAACATAAAAAAATAAGGCAATGAGAAGCACCTTTAAACTGAAAAGAAATTACAACATTATCTTATTTCAAAACGCTATTTTAAACAGATAAAATACACACAAATTTGATAAAACTGTTCCACTTACAGTTCCAAATATATTAAGAAAGTTTGAAATTGAAAGCTACATGTAACGTTTAAGCCAGCAGTTCTTAAACTAGGGTCTGCAGAGGTCTCTAATTTAATGTTAAAGATCTTCCTCTTTTAGACTTTGAAAGACCTCATATAAAGGAAAAATGCACCATCCTAGACAAGATCACTAAATTGCCTCTAAAGAAAACACCACTAGAACATGTACTTCGATCAAGAATATTAATTGTTTTCTTATTGCTTGAAACAACGTAGCCATTATTACAATGTAATATTTTCAAAAAGTATAGTAAAAACATGTGTATGCATTTAAGAACCGCTGGTTTAAACAATTAATGTTCATTACAGAAAGCTACAATAATATGAAAGAAAACAGTTTATAAGCTAAATATGAAGGAGTATTCCACTACAATGTTAATTTAAACCAAAAAGCTATTAACTAAGGCTTAATGTTTGGCTCACCATTAAAAGTTCCAAACAAACAAAATCAGAAAGTCATAATTTCAGTTAACTTTTGTCATTTCTATTTCAATTTGAAGTTATTTAAAACAGGCATAACTTGATTTTAAAAGAAAATCAAAACTGTATAGAATCAATTTACGATACGGTTCGTAGAGATAAATTATATAAGCATCAAAATAAAAAAAAACCTGCATAGTTTTTAACTGAAATTAAAGTGACCAATTCAGCTAAAAAATAAACTGAAAACAGACACAATGTTAACAAAGTTTAAAAAGAAACTTAACTATTCTTTTTTAATGCAAAAACATACTACTATTAGCTTTTAAGCTAAAAAGAAAAATCAATTTAGCTTGGAATTACCAAAAAAGTATGTTCAGTTTTTATAGAATTACAATGCCACATATCTAAGCAGAACTGTAAATACAAATGGGTTGGAGTGATGAAACTGAATGGGAATGGCGCCAAAGCTAACATTCAGTTCATTATTCATTGAATGAATAATTTTTTTTGAAAAAACTATTAAAAAAACATTTGTACTTCTGTCTCAAAAATGGATAAATATGGCAAATAATAAATACAACTATTGTTAAAAAAATACTGCATGAAGCATGCATTTACAGGTTTACAGATAGATATGATGCTAGAAACATGGAAAATTGCTTACAAATTAAATTTCAATATATAAGAAATTTATAATTCATATATTTCAAAGTATATTAAAACACCCATATTCAAATGCAATGTTTCAAACAATAAGTGAAGAACTTTCATGAGATTTGAAGTTTTGAACAAACTTAATTATTACCATATTCCTTTTTTACTTTAAATACTCATTTATCTTATCTTTCTTAAACATTTTAAAATTTATTTAATAAGAGGGTTATTAACAACATTTCTTAAAATTAGTTATCTTGGCAATTATTTCAAGTGGAATCAAGCTGCAGCACATTGAAAAAGAAATAGAATTATTAATGATTAGTTATATTTAGCAACACAATTCATTTTGACAATTATGAAATTCAAAGAATTATGGTCTATTTCTAGTTTTTAAACTCGTATCATTTACTATTTTTTTAAAAAAATCCTAAAATGAACCTATTTAATTATTAAAATATAATAATTCAACTTGTTATATTCATATACAACAGTAAAAAGAGAGAACTCAATCTCTGGCAATATTGGGAGGGAGGAGAAACTAAATAATTTAATTAAAAATCAAAGTAAATTTACTTATCCTGCAATACTACAGCTAGATATAAAAATATCACAATTTAAAATAAATAAATGCACACTTTATCCAAAATAATATAAATTATTTTTAAAATCAAATACTTCATATCATATGCCAAAAAATTAAACTTGTTTTAAATAATTAAAATTACAGCTTTCAAGTGCCAAAAGCATGCTGATATTTGATGTTTCTGTTTTAATATTATTGGCTATTAAAAATGATTTTAAAAAACAGCTGCATCTAAACAGCATAATTTAATTTTTAATAAATATATGAACTGGGTTCAGTTGAGTTCCAATAAATTTGCAATCCTTTTTTACTTTAGGAAAATTAAAACAAATGTCTTTAAAATTTTCAAAGTCGTTTGATTACAGAATTAAATGATATTTGTCAAACTAAAACACTTACTTATCCATCCTGCACTGTAAGTAATCTTTAGCCAGTACTCTACATTCTGCATTAGAATTTTCTTTTTGGTTTAGACACAGCAGATATTTTAACATTTGCTTTTTACACTCACCTACGATACACAATAATCAATATTAATTTCTGAATTTAAATATATATCCATTTATTTCCCCCTCCCCATATAAATTTCAAATAAAATGTGAAACAATTTGAAGCTTTTAATAATACAACCAACAGTCATTATTTATATTAATGCAGCATTTAAAGCAGTGTTTCTCAACCTATGTGCCACGGAACATCAGTGTGCCATATTTGTCAAATATGATACAAGAGATTTTAACAAATATTTAAAATTGCATGGGTTTTGTAACTTTGGAATTTTATATTTAACTACTACAATGTGGTTACTAAAAAGTCTTTCAAGATTTAGTTTTCCTGAATTTTTTATAATATTTTCTCAATTGCAATTGATTCTGATTCAAAACAGCATCAGATTTCTCTTAAAAGTTATATACCCTCACTTCTGCAACACATTTGTAATTTGCAAGGAAATAGAGCAGGTCACTGATTTCAGAAATGAAAACTTTTACCCTTCAGAAAAAATTTGGGTGAGTTCTGGCTTTTTGCCTAAAACTTGTAGCCTGCAATAAGTTTGAAAACTATTGAAAGTCTTCTACCTTTTACATTTTTATGGTTCCGCAAATTTCGATTTTCATCATTTGTGAAGGTCTCCTTGGACCTCACTTTGAGAACGAGAATAAATATGATTCAGATAAGAACCAGTAGCCATTTTTATAAACAACTTTCTTTATTTGGTTATCTTATCCAAATAGAATCAAAGACTTATTAACAAATATATCTAACTAGTATTATGAGGTTTTAAAGGTAATATCCTTTAAATTAATTAATGATCCAATTAATTAACAATTAAATAACGATCACGCAGAGATTACCACGATAAGAGATCCCAGAATTATATTCTATGTTCTTATTGAACATTTAATTTTAATTTCATTCGCAATAATAAGACTAATATTTACCACACTGCAATTCAGCTCAGCTCAGCTAAGATTAAATCATCCAAAGAGATTAAATCCAATGAGATTAAATCATCCAAAAAGAAATCTTCAATTTAACTTCACTATAACTTTCTGCTTCAATCTCTATCTCCTACTGCTCGAACTTTACTATTCCGTTTGACTTAAATACTTTATCTAATCTGCATGACAAGGAATCCTGTCCGCTTTTTGGAGTTTATTGGAAATAGGTAGGGAATTAAATTTCCCTAAAAAGGATGACTCAGAAGGTTAGTGATAAAGATCCGTATAGATTTGTCACACATTGACAGAAATCATGCAAAACTGAATGAATCAAGAAACCAATGAATTGCAAATTTATATGACTTTGGAATCTCATTTTAATTTAATTTGTTCAAGAAAATAGTCTAGTCCTCTCAATAAATAAATAAAATTTGTATTATACAACTTTAATATATTTTTTTTAATATCTGAATGTGTTGCCAGTTATTTTTTTGTGTGCTTTTAACTAAAAAATGTTGAGAAACAATAGTCTGAAGTGTAGCAAAATCAATTTTGCGTGTGAATATTAATGTCGCAATATTCAGCTACACAAGAGCTTTTGGCAACAGACCTTGTAATTTTGAACCATGGTCAAATGAAAAGGATGACACCTGAGCTGGCATCTCCCTCTCCTAACTTCCATAGCACACCAACAAGAGAACATTAGAGCCTCGACATATTTAACTTGTATCAGCCCCCTCTACATGGCTGGTATTCAGAAGTACTAGGTTCAAACTCATGACATGCCAGCCACCAGTCTGTTACATTGACCACTAAGCTACACTGGCTACTAAATCAATTTTGAAGATGAAGGGTTAAAATTATATCTTGACTTAAATTCAATAATTTTTTATGGGAAGAATTGATGTATTTGTTTCAAAGTGATTGGATTAGCATGTTGAAAATGACTTCAGGCTGTGTATCAAACACACTGGCAAAGAAAAAAACTTGAATTTTCAAAAATGTATTTCATTAGAAATGGTTAGAGAATAAATATTAAAGAAGTATGCCCCCCAATACTATTCGTCAACATTCCATAAATGTTTAAGTATTTTATATACATATCACAATACAAGTAAACTACCATGTAAAAATACAAAATGTATGATATTTAAATTACATGGAATATGGGAAATTATACAAAAACACTAAATCATCTATACATTTCTGATTTATAATATACCCCCCCCCCAAAAAAAATACATCTTTAAAATATACTAATAAATATTTTTTCAACTTTACAGTAATATGGACAAGTAATTACTATAAATAGTTTTGCTTTAAACAGCAGGACAGTACCCAAGGAAGTTGGTGCTGCTGATTGGACTGACGTCATGTGCAAGTCTCATGCAACCTTCAGACTGGCGAGGCTCCAACACAGAGTCGGAATCCCAATGTGCATTTGAAATATCAGTGATCTGAGTGTCCTGCAATTCACATCAAATCTCTGAGCTGGCTGCATTCTTCATCAACCAATGAGCCAAGTGATCCACCGCTTACAACTGTACATATGACAATTTAGAAAAATATTCCTTCAGACAGATTTTTGGGGAGGTAGTCGGGTATGGGTTCGACACTGGAGCGCCATCCATTTTCAGGGTCAGTTGCTTCGGCAGGTGAGTTGTTACACACACCTTGGTAAATCCTAACTTTTATGAGCACTCTGCCCTGCTGTCTAAAACAACTGACACCTTTTATGGGGTCTCATGAATGCCTAGTATGGAAAGTGAGTAGGAAGGCTGCCGTAGAGAGCATTGAAGGTCAAGGCACGAGTCCAACAGAAGCCTCCACTAATGCGAATCTTTGTGATAGTTACAAATATTTCAGTGAAAACCTCAAAGACTTAGCTTTAATACTAACACTTTATACATACTAATAACTAATACTTTATACGTAGTAATTATTTTTTAGTAATATACATAATACATAAGTGTGGCTATGTGCTTTCCCTCTGCAAATATAACAGTACAATATAATAAGAAGAAAGTCAAATAACAAAAGTATATGGCATATATAATTATTTAATACTTGAGTGGATGTATAACAGTTTCATTTAAAATCTAGAGCTCCAAAAACAACATACTCAGTTTCAACATACAATTTCGACTTGAAAATATCTGGATTTGTCAAGGTTTAAAACATATGTCTTGCATAAACATTTCCAATTTTTTCTTGGCAACCGTTTTAAGAAAGTGGTTACTAATATTCTTAAAATATTCCCATATTTTAGTTTGAATATTCCAAAATTAGACTGAAAGTAGGAAAGTACATTATATGCAAAGGATAAATCTGGTCAGGTTCATTTTTGGATAAAACTACAACTGTAGCAATGGGTAAATAGACAAGTTAAGAGTTAACAAATTGTTCTTGTAATTTATATAATTCTTCTGATGTATAAAAATTGTGTCATGAGCCTCTTCAAAGAGCTATTCTCAAATAGTTTGTGAGTTCAACCAAGATCTTTTAGATTAAATTCAGCACTTAAAATCTTTAAAATTTGACTATGACTATCAGTTTTACAAAGGACAACTATATTATCTATATGTAGTAAAAAATAATACATTTATGTAAGGATAATTAAATGAGATTTAAATTCCCTATACAACAATTAAATTTTACTTTCCATTACATCTTCAAGTATTACATTAAACACCCAATTATTTCTTGGAGCAGATGGTCCAAACACAAAACATTTCTAATCCCAGATCAATATATTTTAATGCCCTATATGTCAGCATTAACTTTCAAGTATAACTCAAAACTAAGAACTGTACTTCACGTCTAGACATAAGTGGTAGAGTTCATTTTCACTTGGCGTCCTTTTCCCTCTCAGAGTAACATCTCTTGATAGCTAGCTGAATAAAACCGTTTTTAACAAAAAAAACTTAGTGTTGACTTGAAACATGTTAGAATAATAGCTGGCAGGATGTACGTGAAAACACATTTCAAAAATTAAACTTAAATATATTCTTTCTAAGAATTTTAAAAAACAGAAAAAAAAAGACACCAAGTATGCCAACTATTGATAAAAGTGCTGTAAATAATGATTTGGGACTCCACCAAGTGATATTTCTCTCTAAGCTGAAGAGGCTGGGTTGCCGTGAGTGAAAGAAACATTTGAATGGCGATAAAAAAAAAAAAAAAAAAGGAAGTGCACTTCAACATTCAAAAAATGTAAAGATGTATAATAATACCATGGATTTGACCAACATGGAATACAATATTAAAGGAAAAACATTGAATACAACCTTGAAGGACCAGACATCGGGAAAAAAACTACTAAATCAAATCAATGGACAACAGCATGTGGATTACCATTTACCAAAACACTCTGCCATTAAGAAATAGAGGTCAGTGAAATAAATAGTTTTCATTTAATTAACATTGAAGTAAAACTGAGTTTTGCTTAACAAGACTTTTTGGAGAAGAGTAATATAATATATATGATATAAAACTTTTACAGTATATTTTATGTCAAAGGATATTGTTTATATTTTAAAAGAGAAAGTAGAGTGCATGTGTTTTGTTATACAAAATTTTGAGAAATTTTAATGTACTTCATTATTTTATTTTAAAATGCTAAATGAGTTAGAATTTGAGATAGATATTGGTGATATTAAGTTTAGTTATTAGAGAACTTACTCTAATGTACTAATACTAATGATATTGATGAGAAACAAAAATAGTCACATTGCATTCTTTTTTTTTCACTGGATTTTATTATTTTGCTAATTATTTTACTCATCAGCAACTTTATTGCATGTAATTTAATTTGTTTTCATTTTGAAATTGTGTGTTTTAATATATTGGCCACATATCAGGATTCACTGTTTATCGAAATTTTCTTTATCTAAATTTAAATTAATTTAACAACTTGAAGCTTATTTTTAGATATTATACAGTGGATACAAGAGAATTCAATCATTATAAATTTTGTATAGGTCTTGAAACATTAAGAAGACAAACGTGTTTAGCTTGATTTGTACACCTCTTATTGTTTTCATGTTAGCATCCCTGAACATCTGTGATTTGACCACGCAGATTTCTCAGAGAGATGTATTTAAAAAGAAATAGTATGATGCAGTTTATATTAGTGAATGTGAGATGTAAGAGAAAGAGAAGAATTTGTCTATGAAATGAATACACTTAAAAGGTTATGAAGAGATTCAAAATATTTCACGTTATATTTTTAAGTAAAACTGAATATTGTGAAAATTTTATTTCACCAAGTTGCAGACTTTGTTGAAAAGTAAATACTAAAGGTGATGATAGACTTATTTCTAGAAGTGAGTTCACTTTTCTGACTCAAAATTAGCTCTTATATTCTTATATTTTTATAACACATATAAATTAGAATGTTTATTGTGTTGAATAATGTAGGTAAGTTGTATTATATATATATATAATTTTCATATTAATAATCATTTCATTTATTAGTGTCTATATTTTAATGTTTTAATAATGTATTTCATCTATGCAAAATTTTGTGCAACAATATTAGATATTACTATGATGGCGTTACAGTAGATTTTAATACAAAATTATTATCTTTGTATTTGTACGATATCATGTATTTTTATATCCCCTTATTGTTTGATATGATATTATTTTCCAATACATAAAAAAATGAATAAATTATATGCTAGCTACAATACGAATCTAATATTATGAAAGTATAGGAGGAAACGTGAGCTCTTATTCTGGATGACATGTAGATTCGAAAACACTAATGTACATTTATGTGTAAGGAATTTCAATTTTATCAATTAATATTTTAGAAGTGTTAATATTGTGTTTATTGTTATAGTTTCGTTTATTTTATTGTATTTTGATTTTAGTACTCCTATTACTTAAATCTACCTTCTGTGTGTAATATGTGTTTCCAAATGATGTCAGGTATTGTTTTGAACTCATTGAAAATTGATTACATTTGTAAGAGAAAAACCATGCCAGTGACTCCCTCTTATAATTGGGGGCAAATGTACAGGTAATTAAATTAGATTTAAAACTAAATTCTCTATACAACATTTAACTTTTATTTTCCATTACATCTTCAAGTATTAAATTAAATACCCAATTATTTCTCTGAGCAGAAGGTCCAAACACAAAACATTTCTAATCCCAGATTATATTTTATAGCAAAATATGTCAGCATTAACTTTCAAGTATAACCCATTACTACGAATGGTACTTCACATCTAGATATAAGTGGTAGAGTCATTTAGATTTTCACTTGATGTCCTTTTTCTCTCACAGTAACATCTCCTGATGGCAAGCTGAATAAAACAGTTTTTAACAAAAAAGCTAAGTGTGGACTTGAAACATGTCATATATATAAATATGCACAATTTGGGTACGAAATTTTTCTCCAATCTGGTATTGATTTTATGAAATTGTTCTTGATTATTTTGATGCAAGTCAAACAAAATCAATACTTCTTCAAACTGATTAGGATCATTTAGATCCTCAAAACCTTGAGATTATTTCATGTAATAAAATGCAATAATCAATTTATGTATTTTTAATATCTAACTGCCTATGTAAGCAACCAACCACAGACCGGGCCGCGGATCAAATGGTACCGGGCTGCACAAGAAACATTAAATTGTTTACTGTGGTATATTTTTCTTGGATTTGAGCTATTTTTATGAAAATCACTTTATATTCCTTGTTAAATCACTTTATATTCATTTTTTGGTTTAGCTATATTTTATTCTAATGTCATGATTAAATACAATCGAATTAAAATTATTAAACCAAAACAGTCTAAAATATAAACAATCAACGTTTTCACCTCAGCGGACCGCGGTAAAATTAACAAATGTTGACCGGCCCATGGCAGTAAAAAGGTTGCGGAACACTGAATTAGACTACAGGTTTCAGCATTAGAGTCCAGTTTTCTTCAGCTAAAACCTTGTACAGTACTATTTCATCTTTTTTTTAAAATTAAATAACCATTTGCTATAAATTATTCCTCAATTTTTTTTTCTTTGCTTGAGATCTCAGACCTGACATTTGTTCATCACATTTATTTCTTCTAGTTCAGCTCAATACCATTCATCAGTTTGAAAATTCTTGGTGCATTATTCAAAGTAGATGGGATGTTCTAACTATCTTCTAATCATAATGGAGTTGTTGTTACTTATACCACCTGACTGACAGTAATAGTGGATCAAGGTCCATGAAATTCATCACAATTAAGGGATAGATTTTTACACCTGTCATTAGCCTTCGCTTTGAGCACCACGCAGGTGACAGTACGATTTTGCTTGGTTAGACCCCAATTTTGAGGAAGAACATCTAGAGGGTGGTCAGGGACCTACCACCTCTCTTCCCCTTCCACCAACCTCATGAGAGGAGTTGCGTCTCGACATCTATTTAAAGTACCCCATGTCGCGAAGGCACTATACATTCACAGAAATCAATTCCTTCTCTTGGATTCTAACCCAGTCCCTACGGCACCGCAGTTAGCGTCACTAACCACTCTACTGGATGGGCA